TATGAAGACAAACAATAGACTGCAAGGCTGATACTACGTGAAAAACGTTTCGAGACACCAACATGACAAGTGCCGATAATGGTACTGGCCATGCGGTTGAATGTTTAAATGTTTAGGCTGGCCTTGTCCTTTTCCTTGCAATTTATGTACGTTGGCTGTTGGGCTGGCGTTACATGTCTTCGCTACACAGTGCCGACGAGCCCCAAGAAGGGCGAAACAGCTGTCCACTCTTGCGATCCTACTTTATCGGTTCTTGTCATGTTGGTGTCTCGAAACGTTTTTCACGTAGTACCAGCTTTGCAGTCTATTGTTTGTCTTCATACAGTGTTTTTTTGGCTGATCAGATCTCTTGTAGATCCTACGTTGGCAGCGTTTGTCGTATACGGTCTCTTGCAGTTTCTGGTTTCTGGATTAGAGCTCATGAGGTCACGTGTTTTTTGAAGTTGGCCGCTGACCAGATCGCAGGTTCAAGCCATATTACTTTATTATAATCAGGAGCTCCGCTCTTAGGCTTGGCTAAATTTAGATATTATGATATATTATTTTACGTTGCCAAAGCCTTCTTACAAGTTTTCAAAAATTCTTTTGAAGCCTGATTGCCCTTTCCCATGAAATACTCCGTTTCCCATCACCTGCTCTCTCGTAAACAAGTAACACGTCATAAATATAGTCGCTCGGTCAGTTAAAAAACGTCATAGCAATTCTTAATGTTCGTTCACAGCCAAGAAAGCCAGCAGAAAGAGTGTAGTTGTCCTGTTGACAGAGAGGAACTTGACCGCCAAAAGGTAACAATGTCATTATCAACAAGTTAAAACCAGTCGGAGAAAAAAAAACAAAAAAAAACAAAAAAAACTAGTTTGCACTGAGTCGTTTAAATCCTTGCGAACTTAACTAACTAAAAACGTCGACGTGGGAGGGTAACTCCCTACGAGACATTGGGGAAGAACATTGATAGGGTTATGGAAAAGGAGAAAAGAGGAAATGCCTGCAGCTGTTGCCAGTGATTTTGCAGAAAAACTCAACGAGTCTCCTGTCATGGGGCACGACCTAGCTATAGTCCAGGAAACCCCAATATTTAAAACCTCTTTACTGTACTACCACCCAGTCGGGCAATTGGATTAATGGTTTCACTCAAACGTCGTGTTTGTCGAGTCCCGCAGCGAAACGGTATTTTGCGGTCGGGGAAAATATTGATGACCCCAGATAATTGCCGAGTTTGAATTCGTAAAAAGCAAAGATATCTATCATGAGAAAATTTATTCCAGCCATTCCATCAGAAAAGAGAGAAACATAAACTGAACGCAAACAGTCAATACGCTCGCGAGAGTTTTTGTAAAGGCTTCTGGACACGTTTTCTTTCATCTACATCTACATTTTTACATGGCAAAGGTTGCCCATCCAGCCACGGAAAGGTGAAGTTTTCTCTGTCCATTTCATGCACGTCTCTTTCGTTCAGTTCTTTCACAAACAGTGCAATTGCTAGTTTATCATTCAATATCATTATACAAAAGTAAATCAGCTTTTGTTCACTTATACGTATGGTTTTGCGCATAGCAAAACCAAAGCTGGCGTTCCCGAATTCACGCGGCCAAGTTACGGTGGAGATGAAAAAAAATTCTAATTCTTACGGGAACGCTTGGTAAGCTAGTGTCCTACGAAGCCGTTATATGGGCCGTCACGTTGACCCTCCTCCAGGCGGCTGTGAGGCTCACTATAAACAAGCATTAGCAGGCCCATAACACAAATGCAGTTAAATATTTTAAATGTATATGTGATAATTTATCATTTATGTTTTTAAATTAAAGGACATATTTCCCGACAAAGCCACCGGAAGGAAGATTCTCTCGTTTACCATAAAATGCTCCAGCGATTGCTGCGAGTGGACTGGTGAACTGAGGGAGAAAGAGGTAAACCTGTAACGCATGCGCTATTACGTACGCCACTGAATGAGATAGCTCAGTTATTAGAACACTAGCACTGCACCGGTATTGCAATGGCCATAAAAGAAAATAAATAAATGTTCTAATATTTAAGGTCGCTCTGAATCCACAATACAGAATTTTTTAAACTTTGCACAAATTTGCATCTCACCATGCTTATCACAATTCGATAATAAAAAATGGAGGTCACCGAACTTGTTTTTTGAGTTATAAGCACTTAAAGCTAAAATTAAGGGTATTTTTAGCTGGTCATTCTGTTGCTATGGTAACCTATTATGCCATAAAGATTACCATTATCAGTTCACCAGTGGCTGGGCATTTACGTGATGCCAATATTGTAGTATTACTTAATAAACAGAAGTAGTATTCATCATTCAAAGTATAACTGTTGGAAAAGTGCTGGAAACTGTTGCCAGCCTTCTTAAATGAGAGTAATATTGAATCAGCCGAGTAACTGAAGAAGAGAATTGTCTTTCTATTTTTAAGGCATACTAATAATACATTAACTTACTTTAACAGCATCATCTAGCGTCTTGCAGTTTCAAAATTGTTTCTTGCACCAACGAAAAATGTCAAGTGACGATTCAAAGGAAGGAACTTGAAGAGCACGTGACAAACTCGTGCCAGTGGAGGATTGTAGTTTGTGATCACTGTAATAAGTCGCACCCAAAGTGCGTGATTCAAGTACGTCATTAGTAGGGTGCTCTGTTTCACAATAAACCATATTCGTATTATCGGCGTTGGACTGGAACTAGCTTGCAGTGGAGGCTCATGCGGAGAAATATCATGAAAAAGAAAAAAATTAAGAAGGAATCCGCCTGAAGTTCGAGTAACAACTGGACAAAAACTTTGTACCGAGATTATTTGCATCATTCAATGAAAACTTCCGTGCGACTGTTTTAAATATCTTCTCATAAAAAATCATTTCGAAGAACGTCAAATGTCGAAAACTAATTTGAAGTTCATATGAAGCACTTGAAAGTCCTGGTGAAATGAAACTGATGATGAAATTTTACCTGTGTTACGTTTGCGTAATTTCTCTGAACTTTGAAATTTATTTTCTCGAGTTCCTATGGGAGATTGCTTTTGGTTTTATTTCAGGCAATTATTTATAGCTTTTGGAAAACGCAAAAAGAACTGTAATGTACTTACCAGGTTCTGGTACCAGGTTTTTGTCCACTAAAAACTGAAATTGCTCGATTTCCCATCGGATTTTGTCTTATACATACATACATAAACGTCATTTACATTTGAAGAGATCCCCCGCATTAGCCTCAGTTGCAAGCTGACTTCAGTCCAATAACGAGAATACAAATATGGTCCATTGTTAATAATTTTTTAAATAATAGGGTTGGCTGAAGCAACTTGGCTTGAAACCAAGCGTCCACAGTGCTGCCATTAACCTCAAGTCTCCCTCCCCCTCCCCCTCCCCACACACCATTAAGTGTCAATTGAGACATAAAAATTCACCAATTAGTTAGAAGACAACCTCGGGAGCTATACCTAAATTTTCGAAAATTTTTACCAGGAATTTCTGTTCCATTTCATTTCCAGCCCAGAATTTTCGGTTGAATGGTGCACTTTTCGGAAATTTAAAGTGTATGTCACGTCACAGCCTGACTCGTCGCAGGTTTTAACTTTGACCCAACCAAAAAGGAAATTGATTGTTTAGATGGCTAAAACGCGGTGAAAAGAAAACTATATCCATTTTTCTCCGATTTTCATGTCATGATCTCATGAAGATTCCATCAAGCAAATGCATAAATATCTGTCACATACACTTTAACAATTTTCGGATTTTCTGAAAAACTTTCCAAGGACATTTCCGTATCATTTGGTCTTATCTTTGCTTATATTTTCTTTAGGCTTTTTACAAAAGTTGTTTGTAACAGGCTTATTCTAAGAATATACCCCACCAAACCTATACCTAATTCATTAAACGTCCACCTTAATATCCTGGGCTATGATTTACACACTCGTAATTTTCTTTGTCTTAGTGCTAAAAAATGCTACAACCTCTTACCGAGATTCTTCGTTCTCCTTGACCAGCGATCAGGGAGTACATGACCCCGGAAAGTTCTGATTGGAAGTCCGAAAAGAACGGAATTACGTTCGAATTGCGCATGCCTAACTGACAATCACGTGGTGAATCGAGTAGCTGCTGCCGTATTCGATTCATTTCTATTGTAAAGAACACAAATCAAAATCGATCTTGTAACGGAACTCCTTCTAGAGTCGTTCGTTTCATCAAGTTTGCCCAGTAAGGAACGAAGAATCGAGAGCCGAGATTGGAAAGTACCGGTACTGCTGAAAATAAAAAGTACCAGACGTGAGATATGTGTTTTTATGCATGTTCGTAGGATCACGTTGAAAAGTGTGAGAAGAAGCCCGTGGAATGCCCAAATAACTGTGGTGAAATTATTGTTCAAGAAGAGGTAGGTGCCTTAATTTCGATCAACGCCTCTAAAAGTTTTTATTTCTAAACAGAAGGCAATGAAGGCAATGACACATTATTTCAAACAATTGTCACTTTAATCTGAAACATAAGCAATTTTTTGCCTTACAGATTTTTAGTTTTTCC